AAACAAAGTATATAATTGACTGACTTTGAGTGTATTCAGAATTGTGTAACTGTTGTCACAATTTTAGAACATTTCCACCACTTTAAAAAGAAACCCTGGTGACTACAGATGCAACTGGCGGGTAGAGTGCATGCTTACAGCACATAAGACCTGGGTTTAATCCCAGCACCAAAAAAGGAAAGAAACTCTGAACAGACAAAATTAATCTTTTTTATTCAGTGGGATATTATTCAGCCTTTTAAAATAAGTAAATTCTTATTTTACAACATGAAGACATTTTGCAAAATGAAATAAGCCTATAACAAAAGGCCAAAACTGTATGATTCAATTTAAAAGAGGTAACTTGAAGTAGTCAAAGTCAAGGAAATAGAATGATTAATGCCAGGATGGCAGAGGGAAAAAAGCAATTAATGGGTCCAGACTTTCAGTTTGGAAACATGAAGAGATCTGGAGACAGGTGGTGGTAATGGTTGCATAACAATGTAAACATACCTAATGCCACTGAACTGCAAACTTAATGGTTAAAATGGTAAATTTTATGTCATGTATATTTTACCATTCTCCATCCCTCCCTGCAAGCTCTAGGCCACTGCTAATTTATTTTCTCTGTATATAAATTTGCTTATTCTGGACTTTTCATACAAATGGATTCATACAATAGGTAGTCTTTTTGTCTTAAATTTGCATAGCATTCTCAAGATTCATCCATGTTGTAGCTTGTATTAGTACTTCATTCCTTTTTATATCCAAATAATATCCCATTATGAGGCTATGCCACACTTACCCATTTATCAGTTGATGGACATTTAGGCATCCACTTTGGGGCTATTATGAATAATACTGAAACCGGAGTTTTGAGATGAGACTGGAGCCTCCACTTTGCCAATTTCCTTCTGGGTACTTGTCTTGCAAATTTGAAAAATAAAATCCACATACTATAACAGAAGGGAAAAGTGAATAGAACGGGGGCTGAGGTTGTAGGTCTGTGGTAGACAGCTTGCCTAGTATGTGTGAGGCACTGAAGGGAAATCAAGGAAGGAGAAACGGGTAAATGAGAAATGAATGAAGGAGACCAGGCAGAGATACACATGAGAGTTTATTTGTCAGAGCTGACAAATAAAGGTCATCTCTATAGAAGAGAGAGGCAAAATAGGCTCTGAGTTCTGGGACTTTTCTGGGGGAGGCTCAGAGACCAGAGGGTCCTAAGGCAGGTGGTTAGGGGTTGCGTTAGTGAAAGGGAGTGCTGAGCCTTTCTCAGAAACTCCCTTGGGCCGGAATGCAAAACTTTTTCCTTAAAATGGCAGCCATCACTTAAGATGGTCATCCAGATGCTAAGCAAGGACCTTATAAGTACTAGATTCGATTCTCTGCACCACATATAAATAAAATAAAGGTCCACTGACAACTTTAAAAAAGAGGAGGATTTACTTAAGCAAGAAGAGAACTCCTGCTCTGTGAGAAAGAGAGCAGAAAAACCCATTTTTGTGTGCTCTTTTAGGGGCTTGTATGGTTTGGGGTAGCGCACATGGGAAAAGATCTGTGTTAAACAGGCATTGAGAAAGTATTGGCTGGGTTTTAATCCTTCCAGTAACTTCCATTTGGGTTCACTCCCACTTTCCTGTTTTCTTGCCTCTGGGACAAAGGATAGGACAAAGGAGTTGGCTGGAATTTTGCATTTGAAGTAGTCTTCCATGGTGCCCACTGATATTTCTGCTGCCTTTGAACAAGACCTCAGTTGGAGTCCATCACTGCAGATTGCAGACCACCAACTACTCTCATTCACTATAGCCTTCAGACGTGTCCATTTCTGTGGGAACACGTATCGATTTTCTTGGGTATGCACACCCCCCCACCCCCAAGTATCTAGGCAGTCAGGTAACTACATGGTTAGTCCCTCAGGAGCCTACTGAAATGTTTCCAACCTGACTGCCATCTTGCATTCCAGCTGAACAATTTTGAAGTTTTTTTAAAAACACACCAGTATCTTTGGGCTGTAATAACAAAGAAAACCAACTGTAGCTCCGTCTCTTCTTTGCCTTGAAAGGAGGGAGCAAAGTAAAGAAATCCATGCTGTGGGGAAAGGGCAGGACTCCCTCCAGGTTGCAGGAGGCAGGTGGTCCCGGCAGTCCCCGCGCGCCGCCAACGGTCGGTGGAGCGTGCACGCATGCGCGGGAGCAGCCACGCACACCGGGCCCCCTCGACCCGCTCTGCTGGCGCGAAGTCCCAGGGCTCTGTGGCTGCCGGGCAGTTCGAAAGCTGTGCGTAGGCAGGGTTCTGGACCTCCGTGAGTGAGTCAGGGTTCGCTTCTTCTGCTTGGTTTTTGTGAGGTGTTTTTCTGCCCCCAACCTCTCACCAGTTCACCCTTGGTACTGAGGGGATCAAGAGAGAAAACTGTGATCTGTGCCTATTCACGTGACCCAATAGTTGGGGTTTTAGACTTTGAGAGGACTTAGAGAATTGGAATTTTATCCTTGATCACGTATTCATTGCTTTTTTTTTTTTTTTTTAAGGCTTTCACGTCTTCTCCTCCACTTAACCTCTTTACTTGTAATTGCATTCATTCCTTCCCTAGGACCCCCGGGATACACCTGACACCGAGACTTCAGCTCCAGCTCTTTGGACTGTACAGAACTCCAGGTCCTGATATATGTCCCTCTGGCTTATATCTAGGCGGCCCAAGAGCCCCTCAGAATTCAGAGTATCACAAGTGAACTTTTCCTTATTGTTTCCCTATGTTTCTTCCTGGGTTCATATTTTCATTAGAGGAGCTGCACCCATTCACCCCTATTTAAAAAACTCACTGACACTTTTCCCCCTACATATTACAGACTGGCTATCAAATCCAGCATGGAATCTTTAAAATTCTAGATTCATCTCCTTCACATTTTGTTTTTAGGGCTGTTGATTGGTCCATAGATCTGTCTCTTAGGAATATTACAATAGCTAAAAACTGATAATTGACTTTTCCAACTAATTTTCCACTTAGGCAGCAGAAACTGATTTAAAAAAAAAAAATCTGAGGGGCTTGGATTGTAGCTCAACCTACCATGTGTGATGCACTTGGTTCAATCCTCAGCACCACATTAAAAAAAAAAAAAGTAAATAAAAAAAAAAAAAAAATGTTTCTGTGTATATCTACAGATTAAAAAAAAAACTTGAATTTTATGTTAGCGTTAGTTTTTTTTTTTTTTTTTTGCTTATATAATCATTTGAACTTTTAAAATCTTCATGATATGGCTTCTCCTTATTATTTCATTATTAATAGCTTCCCTTCCTTCAACTTTAGAAACCTAATGTCTTAATAAAGCAAAGATGTGATTACTGACCAAACTTTAAGATTATTATACTTATGGCCACAAAGAAATAAACTCTGAATTTTCACCCCTATGTGATAGTGAAAAGGATAGTCTCACTTTTCTCTGAAAGTAGCCTGAACTCCAGGTTAGCAGGGGTGTGGATCCAATAGTACAGAACTCATAATGGAGGTTGGGGATGTTAACTTCTATCTGGGGAAAACTTTCTCTTCCTTCTATTTGCCTCTCCTCCAATTCATCTCCCAAATGTCACCTTTAAAGTAGAATTCATAGCTGTTTCACTATGACTGTCTTGTTCTCACTGTCTTGAATCAAAATGTACTAAAACAATAGAAAATGTTGACTCACACACAAGGATGACCCCAAATTTTGTGAATATACTTGATGTTCTTTCTACACTCCCTAGTACATTCATACTTCTATTATAGCACTTAAGTTGTCATGTAGTTGTTTCCATATTGTTCTTCCCTCATTGCACTCTTTCTGAAAGAGAGGTACCACATTTTACTCATATCTGTATCCTTAGTGCCTAGGATAGTCAGGTTAGCCAATAAAAAGTAAATGCCAAATCAATAATGGAAAATGAATGAATAAATGTATTAATCATTATTTCTGACTTCTCTAAACTGGCAACTTCACAAAGGCAGGATACAATCTTAATCCTTTTTCCTAATACATATTATAATTACTGTATTGCATATATTGTTTCCATTTAGTGTTTTGTTTTCTGTCTACAATAATTTTTCATATTCCACTCTCCACATATTACTATGGTTTAATGTTTTACACGTTGAACAATGACACAGATTTTACTGAAGAAAGTCCCAATCATCTAATATAATTCCTTGATTTCCTACAGCTTAAGATACTGAGCCAATCAGGTGATTTTCCATCATAGCAAATGCTCAGTCAAGAACTGATTTCTCAAGATTTCCCAGGGTAGTACTCATTCTACTGTTTGTTACTTAGATTGAATTATGAAACAACTTTTACTACATTTATTTATTTGTTTGTTTGTTGGTTGGTACTGGGGATTGAACTCAGGGACACTTGACCACTGAGCCACATCTCTAGCCCTATTTTGTATTTTAATTAGAGACAAGATCTCACTGAGTTGCTTAGCACCTTGCTGTTGCTGAGGCTGGCTTTGAACTCGAAATCCTCCAGCCTTGGCTTCCCGAGCTGCTGGGATTACAGGCATGTGCTACCATGCCGAGCTCCATTTGAGGATCTTGATCTTAAGTTTGTTATCTTGTGAAGGATCTCCTGAGTGTTGATTAAAATGTTATTTGGGGGCTGGTGGTGTAGTTGAGTAGTAGGGTGCAAGATTAGTGCATGTGGGGCTGGAGTTGTGACTCAGTGGTAGAGCACTTGACAAACATGTGTGAGGCCCTGGGTTTGATCCTTAGCACCATATATAAATAAAATAAAGGCCCATTGACAACTAAAAATATATTTAAAAGAAAGATTAGCACACGTGAAGCTCTGGGTTCAATCCCTAGGATTCTACCCCCTCCACCCCTGAAAAAAATTAAAAGTTGACAAAAGAGAACAAGGTTTGGTTTCCTTTTATCTAGGAATTTTTTAAGAGCTGGAAATTTTGCCTAGTTCTATTTCACTCTCAATTTTAATAGTTTTTAAATTTTTATTAGAGATTTTCAAAAGTAAAATTTATTTTCTTTTATCTCTAGGTGTTCTCATCTTTTCTATGAGTTTGACCCATCTATAATGATTATCGGCAGCTAGTAGTTTAATCATTAAGTAGTAGAGAAGAAATATTAATTAGGAGAAAATGTCAAATCTAAAAATGAAAGAGGCAGCCCTTATCTATCTTGACAGAAGTGGAGGTCTCCAAAAGTTTATAGATGATTGCAAGTACTACAATGGTATGTTCAACAAAGACGATTTATGTTAGAAACTTTCAAATAAATTTCTACATATAACTATCCAGACTTTTACATTTGTGTATTTTCACAGATTCAAAACAAAGTTATGCTGTCTATCGATTCAATATTTTAATAAATCCTTCTGATGTTGTTGAATTATATGCTGAACTTGGAAATCATATTTTACACCATCCTTTAAAAGCTGCTCAAGTTTTTCAATCAGTAAGTTAAAGAAAGAAATACTTTTATGCCAATACTTTTATTTTTGGTAACTTGTGTGTTTGTTTGAAATTACAGGTCTGTTTTATTGCTGTTAAGACTCTCTCATTAATTGGACAATTACAGACTGAAACTCAAGTAAGTTTAATTCACTTCTTTTAACATTTTATTTATTTATTCTAATTTGTTATATATGACAACAGAATGCATTTCAATTTATAGTACACTTATAGAGCACAATTTTTCATGTCTCTGGTTGTACACAAAATAGATTCACACCATTCGTGTCTTCATAGATGTACTTGGGGTAATGATGTCCATCTCATTCCACCATCTTTCCTACCCCACTGCCTCCTCTTGACCTATCCCTCCCCTTTGCCCTATCTAAAGTTGTTTTAATTAACTGTAACAACGAAAACTCACATGCAAACATTCAAGATGACTTGTTAATTTAATATTTTTATATGCATACTTTTTTGTTTGTTAAAAAGTATAATACAGGGGCTGGGATGTGGCTCAAGCGGTAGCGCGCTCGCCTGGCATGCGTGCCGCCCGGGTTCGATCCTCAGCACCACATACAAACAAAGATGTTGTGTCCGCCAAATACTAGAAAATAAATATTCAAAAAATTCTCTCTCTCTACCTCTATCTCTCACTCTCTCTTTAAAAAAAAAAAAGTATAATACATTCTTCAAAGTTCAAATGAACATCCTTTTTGTTTTGGTGCTGGGGATCAAACGCAGGGCCTTGTGCATGCAAGGCAAGCACTCTTCCAACTGAGCTGTAGCCCCAGCCCTCAATAGAATATCTTAAATATGCATTTTTATTTCCTATATTACCACTTATACAGTTAAACATTTTTATAATAAATCATTTCAAACACACCTCAAAGGAAAGAAAATAATTAGGAAACTCTTATATATCTGTCACTCAAATTCGGTGTTTTAATATTTTATCATATGGCATCTTTTTGGGGGAGTGGGAGTGGGGGTATGGGACTAAACCTAGGGGCTCCACACCACTGAGCTACATCTCCAGCCCTTTTTATTTTTCATTTTGAGACAGAACCTCACTAAGTTGCGTAGGGCCTTGCTAAATTGCTGAGACTAGCCTCGAACTTGTAGTTCTCCTGTTTCAGCTCCCAAACTGGCTGGGATTACAGTCATACACCACTGTGTCTGCAGCATCTATTTTTTGTCCAAAATATTTTAAAGCAAATTCCAGGTGTTCTATTATTTTACCCCTACATACTTCAGTATCAACTAAATATTATGGACGTTTTTTTCTACATAACCACAATGCCATCGTTACCCCTTATGAAAGTAATAAAAATCCTTTGATATCATCCAATATCTAGTCCGTACTTAAATTTGTCCAAAATTACCCTAATGTCTTTCAGTTAGTTTGTTAAAATCAGTATCAAAACAAAGTCCACTCATTGTAATTGGTTTTTATATCCTACTAAGTGTCTTTCAACATAGAGCCATTCCTTTTCCCTCCCTTTTTGTACTATTGATTTTTTTTTCTTTTTTTGAGTACCAGGGGCACTCAACCACTGAGCCACATCCCCCAACCTATTTTGTATTCTCTTTAGAAATAGAGTCTTAATGAGTTGCTTAGCACCTTGTACTTGCTGAGGCTGGATTTGAACTCACGGTCCTCCTGCCTCAGCCTCCCAAGCTGCTGGGATTACAGGCATGCACTACCAAGACCAGCTTGTACTATTGATTTTTTGAAGAAAAAAATTATGAAGTGTTACATAGTCTGGATTTATCTGACTACTCTCTTTTAAAAAAATATATTTATTTTTTAGTTGTAGTTGGACACATACCTTTTTGTAAATTTATTTTTATGTGGTGCTGAGGATCAAACCCAGGGCCTCGCACCTGCTAGGTGAGCACTCTACTGCTGAGCCACAACCCTAGCCCTTTTTTTTTTTTTTTTTTATACCAGGGATTGAACTCAGGGGCACTCAACCACTGAACTGCATTCCCAGCCCTATTTTATATTTTATTTAGAGACAGGGTCTAAGTTGCTTAGTGCCTCGCCATTGCTGAGGCTGGCTGTGAACTCTTTTTTTTTTTTTTTTTTTTTATTTTAAAAACATTTTTTTTTAAATATTTTTATTTATTTTTATTTTTTTAATGTGGTGTTGAGGATCAAACCCAGCACCCCCCGCATGTCAGACGAGCGTGCTACCACTTGAGCCACATCCCCAGCCCTGGCTTTGAACTCTTGATCCTCCTGTTTCAGCTTCCCAAGTTGCTGGGATTACAGGCATGCGCCACTTCTCCTGGCTTTTTTTTTTTTTTTAATGTTCTAAAAATCTTTAATTTTTATATAGCAGGTTCATAAAGAATACTTTATAAGATTAGTAATAATGGTAAAATTGCTTGAAACAAATTATTATGAAATTTGTTCAGGGATGCATAATATGTATAAAAATGAGTTTATTTTTCTTTAACAAGTGCTGCTTTCTGATATACCAAATACATATTAAATCCATGAAATACAAGAGTTTAATCTACATCTGTTGGTTGCTTTAATTTTTCATTTAAAGACAAAATCAAAACCTTTGAAACTACACTTTTCATTATAAAAGAATCAAAGTATATCTGTATTTCTAAAATACCATCAATATAATGAATTCTTCTCACAGACGACACTAAAACATGATAAATATCTTCTGTACTCAATTTGAGGTGCTGTCACTGAAATTAATTATAAATGTCTATTCTGAAAGATGTTGCAATAAAGTTGGTAAACTAAAATATTGATACTGTTTTTTTTAATTAAACTTATGGAATATCTAGAAAGTAGGTTGAATTAGAACCTGTTGACAATTTATAATATTCTTGAAAAATAATTTTGAATGACAAAGAAAGCTATGATTTTACTATAAATTAGGAGTTTTAAAATTATCTTCCTTTAGTGCTTTCAACTGTCCCTTGGTCATAAATTGAAAACTCAAATAATTTCAAATAATCATGGTTACTATTTAGGCAGAATCTCATGTGTACTTTTAAGGTTGTATAAATGGAATTATAACAAAAAGACAACTATAACAAGATGTAGCCCCTCTGATTCATGAATAGCACACTATCTTCCAGTAAACCGAGTTTATATTCCACCATCAAATGTGGTTTGCCCACTAGTTCCCTTTGAGATGGATCATTAAGAATATCTCCAAATCCAATAGTCCATCATTATCCCTCAAAATATCCAGGGCAAGGTTTGAGCTCCAAAGAAATGGAAGGCACTGAACCTGCTGTACTGCCTTAAATTCCATTTGTAATTTCAGAGGAGCAAATAAACCTTGGATGTTTCTCAGAGTGGAAAAATTCATTTTATCTTGGTTGAACTGGAAATTTTTTTCTGATAATTTAAGAGGATGACTGGGCAAAATTTCATTTTTCACACAAGAAAAACCTTTCCGAAGAAAATCATGACTTTCAAAAGGCCCACTTGCTGAAAGTTCTGAAACTGAAATACTGTCTTTTCAGTTGAGATCCAGGTCCTCTGGTATTCATCTTCACATCACTCAGGGAACACTGTTCAGTAGGCCCTCCCAGATTACTTTCTTGTGGTACTTTTTCCCCTGTATCTTATGTATCTAAAAGAGAATTTTGCTTTAAAGACTTAGATTCAGATTTATCCAATTTTCACCTATTTTAACATAGTTCCAAATGGCACTTTATCAGGAGGCTATAAAGTTGTCCCACTTTTGGCAATGTCACAGTTGATCAATGGGTTTAGGTGATATTATTCTGATCCCTCCATTACAGACTTTCCCATTAACTTTCACCTGATGGTTTTAGAAAAATTAGAAGCCATCATTTCACATGGATTTGCAAAAAAGGTGATTTTTCTAATTTCAGCATCTTTTCTGAAATTATACAACAAAATAAATTTTCTTTTATCAAACTATATGATTATTCTGAAATATGATTTGTACAGGAAGAGTAAGATAAACTATGATTCTTTTTAAGTTTCAGACAGTAAGGAGGTAAATTCAGCCTCTAATTATGACCAATATTGTTTTTTTCCTTTGTTTAAATATGAGAAACTCATGAATCTTTAATATATTTCATATATTTTAATGAATCTCTGTCATCATTTTGATTCTTATAATATTATATCTTTAGGCTTTAGGAGTTCCTTCAAGTTTGCTCCTATGTCCTTTTGACACATGCCATTAATTTTTTTTTTATGACTCCCTTAGTTTCTGACATAAGATGCTCCAACTGAATCTGGTATATTTTCTGTCCCAGACCTGGAATCGACCATCTCCCCCAAAGAGCCTTGGTTTTTTTAAGTGAGAAACAACATTTGGAGATGACAATTTGGGTACTAGTAGTGTTCTTTGCTATTGGGTTGACATTATTTTAAAATTCTTTTTCAGTGGGCAAAGTCAGGACATGTATATTTTTAAGGAAAAGTAATGAGTTTATCATTATATTTTATTTATTTTCAATTAAATATTAGATTATAAAATTTGTTTTTCTATAATTTTTAATCTCTTTGCTGTCAGTCTTAAAATTTTTGTTCCCAGGCTAACAGTGTAGCTCAGTGGTAGTGAGCTAGCCTAGTATGTGTGAGGCATTGAGTTCAATCCTCAGCACCACATAAAAATAAATAAATAAAATAAAAGTATTGTGTTCATCTACAACTAAAATAAAATTAATTTTGTTTTTTAACACTAACAAATCATTTACTTGACTTATTTTACAATGTACTTATATGTCATAATGCATTTGCTCTGTGATTTTTATTAATAATATTCTTATGTTCTTATCAGATTAACATAGTGCTGAAATTAACACACTTACCTTCTCTGCCAAGTTATTGTCTTGATCTTTGTGAGTTTCCACTTGATTATACATCTCAGAGATTTTATATAATGCAAGGAATTGTGATTGCAATAACAACTGTAACCAAGTATACTCAAGGTGCAAGATTCCTTTGTTCAGATGAAGCATGTCCTTTTTCAAAAGGTAAATATTAAAATGTAAAATCAAAACATGAAACAATTTATTTGTATTCTTTAATCCCAAAACTTGTTTATAATTTGTAATCATTTACAAAGTAGAGTAAATTGGTATCTCCTAATGTTTATAAATTTAATTTGCCTAATCTTTAATAGAAATTATGTTTAGCATCTATATTACAAGTGCCTTATCACAATGTTGGGCCAGAAACAACCCAGATGCAAGGAACAGTTAGTTGATCTACTCTGAACCTGAGTGCAAATAGAATTAATTATCCCTTAATTAGACTAATATTGATTGGAAGTAGGTGAATTTGGAAGCAAGTTTAGTTTACCACTGTTGTTCTTTCAGGATTTCAATATGTAAGAGTACATGTGCCTGGAGCTACAGAATCTGCAACAATAAGAAATGACTTTTTGTGCAATTTGTGTTCATCTTCACTCCAAGAAGACAGAAAATTTAGAGTACTTGGTGGTAAAAATGCATTTACATTTTGTAATTATAATTTTCAAAATACCGCTGATATACGAGTTGAGGATTTAGTTCAGTGGCAGAGCTTAGTGATAGAGCTAGCACATGCAAGGACCTGAGTTCAGTCCTTGGCCATGAATAAAAAAATAAAATTGTCTGATATTTTAATGTGAAAATTAAACCAAATATATATTCAAATAACTAATTTGTTTTGTTCTTTTGCCCCAAGATAAACAGATAGTTGAAATAATTGCCACAGAAGCACTTCATGCTTTTCAAGGATATTCTAAAAACCAGCCATTTAGGTTTCAATCTCTTACAATTTTTCTAAGAGGTATGTAAATTCTATTTGAACTCAAATTTCTATAAAATATGGAATTGATTAATTTCTGCTTTATATTATAAATGTACTTCTGTGGCTTAAAAATTGTCATCTTGTCTGGCATGATGGTGTACACCTATAATTTTAGCAACTCATGGGGCTGAGGCAGGAAGATTACAAGTTTGAGGTCAGCCTGGCAACTTAGTGAGACTATGTCTCAAAATAGAAAATAAAAAGAACTCAGGGAATGTCTGCAGTGGTTCAGTGCCCTGGGGTTCAATCCTTAGTACCCCCTCCCCCACACCACACGTGCACATAAATTGTCATCTTGAGAATTTTTTTTAAAGAGTCTCATTTAGTTAATTGTTCAACTAAACAATTAATTGTTCAACTAATTGTCAATTGTTCATTCAGGCATACAACATTCACTTAAAAATATATTAGCACCTGCAATGTCCTAAATGTTATGCTAAGTCTTGGGTCACAGTCATTTAAAGATAATGATCTTCCATTATTCTATGTGTATATGTCTTATGTTAATGTTGGGGTTATTTTAGAATGTAAGCTTCATGAACATAGATGCAACATTTGTTTTTTATTTTGCATAGTAAAATCTCAATAACTATTTGTTAAATAAATGAATGAACATTCACAAATGACTAACTGCATCAGTAAGTACCCATGAGAAGACAGTCTTGCCACAAAGGAGAAAATCATTGTCAGTCATCCAAGGAATGATTAAGTTTTCATTGAGAAGCCAAAACTGAAAATAAGAATGGGGCTTAACCTTTTCTTCTGGCTAAAATTGGATAATTTAAACTGTTCGGAAAGAGAAATATTGAATGTAAACCATGTATAGGAAACATAGAAGTTAGAAGAGTTGGGATTCAAAAAGAACTCTTTTCGGGCTGGGGTTGTAAATCAGTGGTAGAGTGCTTGCTTCACACATGTGAGGCCCTGGGTTTGATCCTCAGCACCACATAAAAAAATAAATGAATAAAAATAAAGATATTGTGTCCACCTACAACTAAAAAAATATTTTTTAAAAAAAGAACTCTTTTCCCCATGATCTAAGAAGGATGAAAGCCCAGACGATAATAAGTAATTTTTATATAGCAATTACTGTGTGCCAAGCATTCTTATGTATATTAACTTATTAGTTAGAGCAACCTATAAGGTAGATTCTGTTATTATCTCTATTTTTACAATGTGGAAGCTGAGGCACAGAGGGGTACAGTAACTTATCCAAGATATAATCACATGCATATAAGCCATACATTGCAATATAGAAATCTAAATGGGTATCTCTTATGGTTTAGCAATGAAGTATCCCCCTAAAAGCTCATATGTGTGAGAATGCAAGAATGTTCAGAGCTGAAATGATTAGATTGTGAGAGGTGTAATCTAAAGGGGATTAATCTGACGATATGGATTACACAGGCAATGACTGTAGGCAGGTAGGTTGTGGCTGGAGGAAGTAGGTCATTAGAAGTATGCCTTTGAGATTTATATTTTGACCTTGGTGAGCAGAACTGTCTGCTTCCTGGTTGCCATTTCTGAGCTTCTTTCCTCTGCCATGCCTTTCACCATGATGTTCTAGCTCCCTTCCAGCCCAGATCTATGGAGATGACAGACCTTGGACTGAACCTCTGAAACTGTGAGCCAAAATAAACTTTTCCCCCTTTAGGTTGTTCTTGTTAGGTCATTTGTTGTCAGCAATGAAAAAGTTGACTAAAATACTATTCATCTTGAATTTTAGTGGAAAACCTTTTCTCTAAACTCTACAAAGAACCCAAATAAAACTATAAAAATTAAATGAATAAAAGCAGGACTTTTGGATTTGACATTCAGAAAAGATTCGCAGACTTCCCAGTTCCTTTTCTCCCCCTTGACCTTTCCATGATCTCAGGATATACCCACCAAACTGATTCCATGTAACTGTTGAAAAGTTATTTATTTAGAGAGATAATAGTCTCTATTTCATTTTCCTCTTGTAATTTAATCATACTTTTAGTCTTTTTTTTTTTGGTTGGTTAACTAGTTGTTGATTGATATGGGGTTTTTAGTGTTTGTTTTGATTTTTTATTTTCTGAGTTGTTGAGCCTGATTCTTCTCTTTCAGGTCTGTAAGGTAATACCAGCTATGCTCTCTGAAGCTAAGAGGGAGGGAGATCACTGTTCTATAAAGAGAGACCTTAACCCTTGCTCCTCCTTATAAACCATTTTTTTTTTTGTAGGTTTACAACCAATCAACTTCTAGCTGTGGAATGGAGGATTAATATATTTAAATTTTTAGCCAGTGTGGTGGCGCATGCCTGTAATCCCAGCAGCTCAGGAAGCTGAGACAGGAGAATAAGAAGTTTAAAGCCAGCCTTAGCAACTTCAAGGCACTAAGCAACTCAGTGAGACCCTGCCTCTAAATAAAATACAAAATAGGGCTGGGAATGTGGCTCAGTGGTCAAGTTCCCCTGAGTTCAATTCCCAGTTATTACCCTCCCCCCCAAAAAAGATTTAAATTTAAAAAAAAAAACAAAACATTGAACACATGCAAAAGCTCTGCCCAATCTGTACGTATAAGAGAAGAACCTAGCCTAATGTAAAAGTGTAGACTTTGGAGGAAGGCTGAATTAGATATGAATTTCAGTCCTGCCACTTTTTAGTTATTTAGTCTTGTGCAATTCACTTAGCCTCTGAGTTCTTTGTGTATCAATGGAGATAAGAATATCTACTTTACAGTTTACAATTACATAATATAAGTACTTTAAAAATATTATAGACAGTAAATGGTACCTTTTACAATTTTCTTCCCAAATAATATTATTACTTATAAGATCAGTATTATTCACACTGCTTATCATTTAATGCAAAGATGTTTTTTCTTATATAGAATGATCTTTTTTCTTGATTATATTATAGGAGGGTATCTAGTTGCCATGTCATATGCTTCTTGAAGTTAATTCTTATTGCAGCCAAGTATCAAAATTTATCAGCAATAAAATTGCCTCAGTTTACATTATTGGTCCATTACTTGTGAATATTATACTAAACAAAAGTAAATATTGCATTACTAACTCAATTGCTGAATTGTTACTAATTTGGGATTTTGAACCATATGATCATTTACAAGTTTCATTTAGCAAATATTATTTTCCCCTGTGTTTAATCATTCTAGATGAATTAGTGAATAAAATGAACATAGGAAATGAATATAAAATTATTGGAATTCCAACCTGTGTCAAAACCTCACAAACTGCTGTCTGTATAGAGGCAAATAGCATCACTCTTTGCAATCTAAAAGGTAAGGAAAATCATATATTAACAAACACTTAAATTTAAATACATTTGTTCAGCAAATATTTATTGTTTGCCTTTATTCTGAGAACTCATCTAAACAGTAGGATATGGATGAAAACAGGACAAAAGTTCCTGCTCTTAAATCCAATAGATTGCCAATAAAATGTAAACTAATCAATAAGATAATTTCTGATAAAAATTATATGGAGGAAATAAAACAGGATAATGTACAATTTTCTGTCAGGCAGACCCCTTCCTTTGAGTTAAATATTATTTTGAACCTGGTAAGGTGGCATGCACCAGTAATCTCAGCTATCTGAGACGCTGAAGCAGGATGATCAGTTGAGCCCAGGAGTGGGAGGCCAGCCTGGGCAACGTAGCAAGACCCTGTCTCAAAAAGTTTGATTGTTTTATAATTAGCAATAAGAAAGAGGTTTCGGGATGCCAAAGAGTTTTTCTACAATACCTTTTATTTATTTCATTTGTTATTTTAATATGAAACATCTAACAAATTTGCCTGTCATCCTTGCCCAACAGCCATACTAATCTTCTTTGTATCATTTCAGTTTTGGTGTATGTGCTACCACAGTGTTCCACAGTGTCTGTTATTTTCTAGCGAAGGCAATAGAAAATGACTATTAATCTGAGAAAGAGAGCTCAATAAAATAACACCCTTTTCCTCATCTGAGTCCTGAAATAAGATACCAGATAAAGGTAGATGGGGCCAAACTATCACCTTTATTACTAAAAATTTCCTTTAACAGCTTCAACATAATTTTGCATTATGTAAACAAAAACAGAAAGCCAACTTAATGTTTTAACTTGGTTCACAAATATGTAAATGAAGGAAAGGCTGGTTAAATCTTGAATGGAGTAGAATTTTTTTTGGAATCCCTAAGTAACCGTCTATAGTAATAGAGATGCCCAAGCTGACTTTAAGTATAAGTGGATTCTAGATACCTCAATTTATCTTGAAGAGAAAACTTAAACAAAAATGTTGAAGAAAACAAGCACTAATGGACCACACAGAGACAGTTTAATGACTTTTTATATTTTCTACTGTGAAATAATTCAAGATTTATTGACTTTGGTAGCAGAACATGATTTATTTGTCGGTGGAAAAGTGTGATTTTTTATGCTGTATTCCAGAATTATACAGATTTAACCTACCACATGTGGCAAGAGCTGGACTAAGATAGGTATCTTTTATTTATGGGGTAGGAGAATAGAGGAAATTATGATGAAATCTATGATGGCAGCCAAGAGAAAGGAGAAGGGGACCGTTATTCATGCATACCTCAGCTATTCCTACCAAACTTACCAATTGGATAAATTACTTACCCTTTTCAGGAGCTGGAAAGAGTGAGGGGGTGGAGAAGATCTAGATTATTACAATATACTACAAGATAGTGCTTTCAAACTAATAAATATAAAATATAAATCTTTCTTTTAAACCACAATATTCCAGTAGTTCCCATTTTTCTCGTTAGCTCTCACAGAAGTTGATATTATTTCAGACATAGAAATGTAGGATCAAATTCAGCAATATAGGAGCCCCATGATTTGCTTTGCTCATTTATGTCTTAGGATTTGCTTTCAATCCATAGAAAATTTACATGAGCAATGAGGTGACTGCTTTCTTCTTTTCTTTTTTTGCATTCTTTGGGATAGAAAGGATAGACAAGCATGACCTCCACTCATAACTTAATATAAAAATTTGAATACGGCATCATTAGGAGAATGATAATTTCATTTTGAATAACTGGAATTTAAGTGTCTATAATGCTTTTTTTGTTTTGTTTGTTACATTCAGTTCCTTCAGGAATTAGTGACAACTTCAGATGCCTCCTCTCCTTGACTTCTAGCTCATGCTGGAAGTTTACAGCAATACTTGCCAATATCTTTGCATCACACATTGTTCCTCCTGGGACTTACAATTTACTCAAACTCTGTTTGTTGATGAGTCTAGTACAGACAAGTGACCGTAATAAGGAATCAGAAGATTGCCTGGATATTTTAATTATAACAAGTGATACTCTACTTATAGACAGGTAAAATAATGTGTAATGAACTTTTACAAATTATAAATTGGTCACAGAATCGCATAAATCCTTCTCATTAGTATTATTTCAAGATGAGTATCTAAGTACTAAGTATTTAAATCAGCTTTTATCAATGAAGTTGAAATTTTTAAAACATGAATTGAGCATTGGAATAACTGCTTTCAATATTTTGAGACTCTAACCAAAGTTTTAATGAATATCACCAATCAAACCTTTACAAATGAATGCATCTTTCGTAGGCTCCCCCTCCCCCATTCCCTAGCTCAGCATTCTGCTTTTGTACCTTGTTTTCATTTTTAAATAATCCTCCCTATGAGCCAACAAGCCATTTTCATATTTTTTACAGATCCTATTCAATAATATTGGTTCACTACACCCAAATGAGGCTATTAAAAAATGCCAAAATTACCGGGCTTTTTGCAGGAGGGTTGGAATAAGCCTCTGCTCAGCATTTTGGGGCTCCCCACAAGCAATACCTTTTAAAAAAAATAGGTTACTTAAATGTTTATGAAACTGGAAATAAACTCTCTACATTTATATCTTTTTTGCAATTCTAAGGCAAAAATAAATTTATAAAATGAAGTTGAATTTTTTAAAAATTCAAATTAACATTAATCAAACAGATGAACTTCATTAAAGTTAAACCATTACTGACAATGTAAATTTGTTGTTAAGTGCTACAGATTGCACCAATTTATTCCTCCATTAATAGAACATTAATACTCTCAAGTATTTAAAGCTTCCTCATAGCCTCACCGACTCTCTTATCAAACTTTAAATTTTGCCATCTGATGGGTGAAAATGGAATTTAATTTGTATTTCTTTAATTGGAAATAAACTTTAGCATAATTTAGAGCTTACTAAGCATTGTGTTATTTTTCCATGAACTTCTGTTCTTGGCTATTGTCATTTTTTTCTATTAAACTGTTTACCTGTTTCTTATTGAGTTGTGATACTTGTTGGAAATCAAGGCCTTTGTCTCTTTTTCTGTTTGTAATCAGTGTGACTTTTCTTATGGTATTTGGAGCTGTATGAGAAATCTGGTTTTGTTTGTTTGTTTCTAGGTAAAATTTATATATAGTGAAATAATCAGATAATATTATTTAAAACAGTGAGGGTTTACGAATGTATGTGCTCCATAACCATAATAAAACTATTTTCATCACTCTAGAAATATGTCTCTCTCTTCTAATTCCTATTTCCACAGGTGATTTCTGTTACCATAGATTAATTTTCCTATTCTTGAACTTCATATAAATGGAACCATACAGTGCACACTCTTTTCTGTATAGTTTTCTTGCTCAATATAATGAGCAATCAATAAGATTGATTCACTTGTGTCCTCATTATTTTTATTGGTGAGTAGCATTTCATTGTATGAATATACCACAGTTTATTTATCTATACTCCCTGTGGTGGACATTTGGGTTTTGCATGTTTTGACTATTACAAATAAATCTGATGTAACCATTCTTTTTTTATTTTTTTCCTGGTGCTAGGCCATGCACATGTTAGTCAAATGCTCTACCACTTAGCTATACTCCCAGTCCTGCTGTAAACATTCTTTAAAATATATATATATTATTTATTTGTAGTTGGACTCAATACTTTTTATTTTATTTATTTATTTTATATGGTGCTGAGGATAGAACCCAGGGCCTTGCATGTGCTAGGTGAGCACTCTACCATTGAGCCACAACCCCAGTTCAGCATTCTTAAATATATATTTTTTTTATTTTTCCTTTTATTGGTGCATTATAAATATAGAGTGAAATTTGTTATAACACATTCATATGTGTGCACAATAAAACCATATAACCTGAACAGTTTCATTCCCCAGTACCTCCCTTTTCCCTTCTCCCCTTCCCCCCTGGTCCCCTTTTTCTATTCTACTGATCTCTCTCCTGTTTTTTTTAATTTGTTCTAATTGGTTATACATGATAGTACAATGCATTTTGGCACATTATACACCAATGAAGCATAGCTTCTCATTCCTCTAGCTGTACATGGTGCAGAGTCACCAGTATTGTAATCTTACATATAGGGTAATAATGTCTGTCTCATTCTACCATTCTTCTCATTCCCTCATTCTTCTCATCCCCACTCCTCCCCCTCATTCCCTCTGCCTAATCCAAAATTCCTTCATTCTTCCATATCCACCCCCCACTATGGATCAGCACCCGCTTATCAGAGAAAACATTCAGCCTTTGGTTCTTTGGAATTGGCTTATTTCATTTAGCATGATGTTCTCTAGCTTCATGCATTTATCTACAAATGCCATAATTTTATTTTTCTTTAAGACTAAGTAATATTCCACTGTATATATGTACCACATTTTCTTTATCCATTTATCTGTTGAAGGGCATCTGGGTTGTTTCCATAGTTTAGCTATTGTGAATTGAGCTGCTATAAACTTTGATGTGGCTGCATCACTGTAGAATGCTGATTTTAATTTCTTTATGTAGGGTAGTTGGGTCAAATGGTGGTTCCATTCCAAGTTTTCTGAGGAATCTCTATACTGTTTTCCGAAGTGGCTGCACCAATTTGCAGTCCCACCAATAATGTTTGAGTGTACCTTTTCCCCACATCCTCACCAAAACTTATTGCTTTTTTCCTTGATAATTGCCATTCTGACTGGAGTGAGATGAAGTAGTTTGATTTGCATTTCTGTAATTGCTAGAGTTGATGAACATTTTTTAATATATTTGTTGATTGACTGTATTTCTTCTTCTGTGAAGTGTTTGTTCAGTTCCTTAGCCCACTTATTGATTTTTTTTGATAAGTTTTTTGAGTTCTTAATATATTCTGGAGATTAGTGCTCTATCTGAGGTTCATGTGGTAAAGTTCCTTTTGTGGGCTTTTTTTTTTAATATTAGCTAAATACTTAGGGGTGGAATTCCTGGGTCATAAGGTAAATGACAGTTTTCCAAAGTGTGTGTGCCATTTTACATTTCTAACAACGATCTTTGTCCCCATCCTCACCAGTATTTGATATTGACAGTGATTTTCTTCTTTTATTTTCTTATCAGTCTTTTCCATTTTAGCTGTTCTAGTAGATGTGAAGTGCTATCTTGTGGATCTTGAATTTCCCTAATGAGTACTCATATAAGCTTTTCCATATGTTTATTGGCCACTCGTATATCTTGTTTTATGAAGTATCTGTTCAAGTTCTTTTTAGTTGTGTCATTCTTGATGAGTGTCCTTTGTCACATATATGTAGTATAAAAATTTCTCCCATTCTAAACTATGTTTTTAAAGAATTTTCTTAAAATTCTTAAAGAAAATTTAAGCAGAACTTTTATCTTGATAAAGTTCAACTTATTATTTTCTTTTATGTTTCATGTTTTCTGAGTTTTGTTTAAGAAATCTTTGCCTACCTCAAGCTCAGGAAGTTTTGTTTTGTTTGTGATACTGGAGATTGAACCCAGGGGTGCTTACCATTAAGCAACATCCCCAGCCCTTTTTATTTTATTTTACTTTTTATTTTGAGACAGGGTCTTGCTAAGTTGCCTAGGCTGGCCTCAGGCTCAAGATCTTTGTGCCTAAACCTCCTGAGTAACAACTGGGATTATAGGCATGTGTCATTGTACCTGACTTCATAAAGATTTTTACAAATGTTCTTCTAGAAGCATTATAATAATTTTAACTTTAATATTATGTCTTTAATTTATATCAAGTCAACTTGTGTATATGGTATAAGGTAGGAGAAAAGATTAATGGTTTTTCCAATGCATTTGTCTTATTTTTCTACATCATCTGTTGATAAGATCTTCCTTTTCCCTGTTATTGTTTTATTTTTGTTTCTGTCTTTTTGCAGGGGAGAGGGTTTGAGCATTCCAGACTGGGAGCAATATCTCCATCCCTGTTTTGGTACTATTGTTGAAAATTAGTTGGTACTATTGTTGAAAATTAAACTGAATATAAAATTGAACTATTTGAACTCTATTTTCTGTTGCTTTGGTCTGTTTTCTATGCTTATGTCAATACTGCACTCACTGCCTTGATTATTATGGCTCTATGTTCAGTCTTGAAACCAGATGATGCAATCTTAGTCTTCATTTTCAAAACTTTAGAAACTACTATAGGCCTTTTGTATTTTCTTATAAAATTTATAATCAATATTAATACCAACATTCCCCCCACCCTCAAAAAGCTTTTAAGGATTTTGATTTTGATTGTTACTGCATTTAACTTACAAAAAAATTTTGGAGAGAATTTATATCTTAGAAATATTAAGTATTTCTATCATTTCCTATAGACATATAGAAATAAAATTGATTTTTTATTTTGACCTTGTGTCAGTTTTTTAAAAATATTTTTAATTTAAAAAAAAATTTTAAACCTTTATTTTATTTACTTTCTTTTAATATGGAGCTGAGGATCGAACCCAGGGCCTCACACATGCTAGGCGAGCACTCTTCCGCTGAACCACCACCCCAACCCCTTGCATCAGTTTTGGAAATTTCTCAGTTGATTTCAATTTTTATTTATTTATTTATTTGGATTGAAAAAGGAGCACTCAGCCACTGAGCCACATCTCCAGCCCTATTTTGTATTTTATTTAGAGACAGAGTCACATTAAGTTGCTTACCACCTCACTTTTGCTGAAGCTGACTTTGAACTCAGGATTCTCCTGCCTTCACCTCCTGAGCTGCTGGAATTACAGGCATTCACCACTACACGGCTGATTCCAATTTTTAGACAAGTTTAAGGCCCATTGTTTCATATCATGAGGTTGCCAGCCTGGCTACATCCAAGAGTTACCTGGGCCTAATATATAGCCAGGTTTAAAAAATATATAGCCAGGCATTGTGCTGCATACATAGAGCCCACCTACTCAGAAGTCTGAGGTGAAAAGATCACTTCAACATGCAAGTTCAAGACCAGTCTGGGCAACCCCCAGCAAGACCCTCCATCTCAAAATAATAAAACTAAAAATAACTTAGGACTGGGTACCACTTCCATAGATTCTAAGTGGTTTGGAGTAGAACCTGGCATTGGAAATTGTTGAAAAGCTCTGCCAGTGATTTTAACGTGATCTAAGGGTGAGAACCACTGCTCTTACAGGCTTGAAAAGTTTCTTTAAATGTCATTCCCTCATTTTATATCTCCAAACTAATATTCAAATTCCTTGGAATGGCTCATACACTAAACATATTTTATAACATCCTTCTATCCACATCTAAGGGGATACTATCTCAACTTCTTTTGCATTGCATGTCTACATCTGCTTATCACAGTTGATTGCATCAGCAAGTTGTAATTTCTGTGGCAAGAATTTTAAAGCTAAGCTAAGATAATCATATTCCTTTCTCAGAATATGAGAAGCGAAGAAATCGAGGCAATTAAAGAGGGATAGAGACTGAAAGGGTATATCAAGAATTGCTGTGATACAGAAGCATCAGTAGACCTGATGAGACATTGACAAACCTAATGTAAAGATTTTGAATATGAAAAAGAAAGCAATCCATAAAAAGAGAATGCCCAATTCCAATATTGTCTCTCTGAAGCTTCCTCTGACTTCTTTTCCCCAGGAAAAAATAATAATACTCACTTTTTTATATATTTATTTTTTAGTTGTAGTTGGACACAACACCTTTATTTCACTTTTTTTTTTTTTTGTATGTGGTGCTGAGGATTGAACCCAGGGTCCAGCACGTACGAGGCGAGCGCTCTACCACTGAGCTACCACCCTAGTCCATAATACTCACTTATTATTATTATAAAATAATACTTATGTGTGTCCTAAAGACAAGATTTTAGTACTCATCACATTGTATGTTAGTTTTTTTTATGTCTCTTCTAGAGTGGGCTGTGCAAGTTGGGGACCAAGTTTCATGTTCTTATACCTAGCCCCTAGCTAGTATACACAGGTATATTAGATGCTAAATCAAATTCAATTTAATTGTGTATCTGTTAATACTTTATGACTTCTGAAAATAAAATATTAAATAGTAGTAATGAATAAATTATTTTTCCCTAGGCTTTTGAATTTTAGCATAAATCTTTTTCCCCATGGTATACGCCATCCAGTCTCTACTGAAATTTTTCCTACTCTATCCAGAAATAAATATGGAACTGGAGCAGTTAGCATTCAAGCTGGCAGTGCTTTGTTAGCTAAAGATGGTATCTGCTTTATAGGAGACTTATCTTCACACAAAAAAGATAAACTTGAACAACTTCAATCAGGTAAACAATGTTTTTATCAAATTACTTTTCACTTTTTACTTGATAGTATTACATTTTTAGCAATTGATAAATTATATTAAATGTCATTTCTCATTTCAGTTTTATAAATAAAAACAGAGAAACTTAATATGTAAATGCAATGTTTTAGCCTTTGCTTTGAGTTGTTCTAACATGTGAGATTACTTCGTATTGGGCCAGAGTTTTTTCTTCTTGTTGTCTTATTGCGTTAACTAAGACTTCCAGGATAATGTTGAAAAGCATTGTTCCTGATTTTAGTGGGAAAGCTTCAAGTTTCCCACCATTAAGTATGATGTTAGCTGAACAATTTTTGTGATGTTTTATTAAGGTGAGAAAGTTCCCTTCTATTTCTAGTTTCCTGAAATTTCTTATTATAAATGAGTGTTGGATTTTGTTGAATGATTTTTCTACATATATTAATCTGATCATGTGGTTTTTCTTCTTTGACCTGTTGATGTGATAACATTAATTGATTTTGAACATTGAACGAGTCTTGCATACATGGGATAAACCCACTTGGTTGTGGTCTCTATTTCTTTTTATATATTGTTGAATTTGACTGCTACTTTGTTAAGAATTTTTGCATCTATGTTCATGAGAGATATTGAGCTGTAGTTTTGTTTTCTTATGCTTTCTTTTCTGGCTTTGGTGTTTGGGTAATGCTGGTTGGGCCAGGTTTACAAAGATGGGCAACAACATTGTTGAGGATGTGGAGTATCTGAATTGGTGGGAGTGTCAAATGGTACCACCATTTTTTAAAATTTTAATTAGGTATGTATGGCCATTTTGAAAATTCCTCCAGCCAGCAGTTTCTATAGAGTTAAATATACATTTATCCTATGACCTAAGAGAAAAGTAAATATGGTCACAAAAGACTATTATCATGAATAAAAAGAAAATTAATTTAAAAATATATTAGGGAAGTAGGATTCTAAGAATAGCATTGAATTTAGATTGGTTATAAATGGTGAAAGAAGGATAGAAAGGACAATAGGCTGTTTCCACAATTTATTGTTCAAGTTTTAAGTGTATGGATGGTATGCCACCAATTATGAATGATGAACATAGAGACATAGGGAGCAGAGGACAATCATGGCTTGGGTTTTAATATTACTGAATTTGAAGTATATTTTCTCCCACTCATTGTACTCATTTTGTCTTTTCCTCTCATACTCCTACATGGATGGTCCATTTGCTATCATTTTTTGCCATATAAAAGGACATCACTTAATTTTAACTTCCTTTACAAGTCCACTCTTTTTAAAAATATTTTTAAATTGTTGATGGACCTTTATTTTATCTATTTGTATGTGGTACTGAGCATCGAACCCAGTGCCTCACACATGCCAGGCAAGCGCTCTACCACTAAGCCACAACCCTAGCCCTGTAGTGCACTCTTTATGACCAATCTTCTAGACCTCTGTCTACTCCACCCAGATGCCCAACCACAATTTCAGCTACAAGCTTTGGACTAGAAGTTCTCATCAAGTCATGGGAAACATTAACCTTTTCTTGTCATATTCTTTTTTTATGGCAGGTGCTCTAATTTAGCAATATTTTGCAAAACAATCAGTTATCAAAACAATTTAGTTATCTTCACTATCTGAATTTTAGACAGTAAGATTTTATATAATGATATTTGGTATTAATTTGTATAGATATAGACCAAAATGAACTTAAGTAACAAATGGATAATGTCTTCTGAACTTAGTTCTGGAGAGCAGAAGCATTACAGTATACATCCCAGGAAAGAAGTTTGGGGATGATATTGATCAACAAATGACTTTTCCAGTTCAGTGCAGTTTTTGGTCTTTTGTTGATACGGATTCATCTTCAAGGAGAAATACACAGAAAAACAACACTCTAATTGGTCAGATGGTAAGGTATACACTTAATTGTTAGAATGTCATTCAGGGAATTTTGTTGCAGATTTTAATATATCATATTTCTTCTTCTTCTTTTTTTTTAAATTGTGGTGCTGGGGATTGAACCTAGGACCTTATGCATGCAAGGCAAGCACTCTACAAACTAAGCTATATCCCCAGTCCTTGATATATCTTCTTAATGTTTTGTTATTAACCCATGTTTATATCAGGTTTTTATAAACAATAATAACCCAATTGTTTAAATTTTTATTTTTATTTTTAAGTGTGTGTGTGTGTGTGTGTGTGTGTGTGTGTGTTGTGCTGGGAATTAAACCCAGGGGCTCATGCATGCCAGACTAGTGCTCTACAATGGAGTACATCCCCATCCCTGATTTTAGGATTTTTTTAGTCATGCAAATCAGATGTCTTCTTAGTAGAAATTTGAATCAGTAACTGGAAAGTCTTCAATAATGTGTAAGATAATACTCAACGAAGAGCTTTATTTAAAAAAATAAAACTCTTTACAAGTTCCCAGGCTATTTACATATTGCTTTAAATTGTAATTGATAAAATATTTGACATTTTGAACAATAAATTATATATAATAATCAATTTATAATTAATTATTTCCAAATTGTGAAAATTCTGTAGCTTACTGTCTGCCTGTTGTTACCTTTTGGTTTGATGTAGGATTGCAGCTTGATTCCAGCTAACCTTGTAGAGACATTCGGATTACTGATTAACTGCAATGAATCATCTCCTTGCCACCCACATTTTCCTACTGTGCAACATACTTTAAAGAAAGCTATTGATCCTGAAGGGCTATTTTATTTTGCTTCTAAACAGTTCACAACTGAAGATTTTGAAAAGGTAAAGGTAGATACAGTGGTTATCCAGAAATGCATGTATTAACGTTTCCAACTTTAATAGAAGTCTCTTTGAGCATTCTTCATGTAGGATTCTTTTATTCCAAGTGCTTCCAGATTTTAAACACTTTAAGGCCATTTATAAAAATCATTTAGGATTATGATTAAATAAACAACTATGTAAGGAAATAGATATTAAAATATTGAGTTTAAGCTGGGCACAGGACATGTGCCTGGAATCCTTGTTACTCAGGAAGTTGAGGCAGGAGGACTGCAAGGTCAAGGCCAACCTGGGAAAATAGCAAGACTTCATCTTAAAAAAAAAACACCCCAAATGTCTAAACTGTGGAAATTATTCTTTGAACCACTGTCCAAAATCACTAGGGCTTTGAAAAAATAAAAAACAGCCTTTCTATAGAAAATAAATAGCCTTTCTACAGAAAATAAATATATATATTTATATATATATTATTTATATTTATTATACTTATATATATAAACAGCCTTTCTACAGAAAATAAATATATATTATTTATATTTATTATACTTTTATATATAAATATATATATTTACACACTTTTTTTTCACATTTTACAGACCATTCAAAGGGATTTCCCTCATATGAATATTTTCAGAATTCTTACTTTCAGTAATATGTAGTATGACTCACTAACCCATAATGTCCTAACATTATGAAAACATTTGTGGAATATTCAGAAAACTCAGGAGCAAATGATATAAATTTAGTAATCATTGTCATAGTTATTAAAGGCTTACAGATATCTATAACTTTTAACTGTTCAGAAATCTATTTATAGTAAAATATCTGGGCAGCACAGGTGATGTTTGGCAGTGGAAACCTGGCTATTAAAATTTTTTTTCTTCATACCTGTTTTCCTTATAAGCGTATTGCCTGGGTAAAAGGCTAAAAGGCAAGGTGGACTTTAAAATGGATTAAAAACATTACTTGTTCACATAGACTAGAATAGAAAATGAATAATATTTATGATATAGTAAGGTTTTTTTTTTTTTCTTAGTACATAAGAATAGTTAGTTTCTAGGAATTGGGGCACTATATATAGACCCAGAGAAATTTTTGCTTATTTTTTCCTGAAAAGTGACAAAACAAAAAATTGCGGATTTATTAGTCAGGTATGTAATGAATACTTCACATATATTAGCCTATTTCTGTTCTTTTATATTCACATAGAAATATAAAACTCTTTTTTAATTATTATTTAATTGACATAAAAACAAGATACATGAAACAATTAAGGAACAACTCAAGCTAAACTGAGTGGTGCCAACTATAAGTATTTTGGAATTCAGAAATGAAAATATCAATGTAGAATGCAAGAGCTGGGAAAACTTCATGGAGGAGGCAGGACTTTAGTTGGGCCTTAAGAAAAAGTAAAATTTAGATGGCAGGAAGAATGTATATTTTAAACAAGAATCACAGTAGGTGCAAAGACACAGAAGTTGAAATAAGTATGTATGGAAACTATGAGAAGATCAGCTTGAATAGTGTAAAAACTGAATTATGGATTCACAGGGATTTGGCAATTTACAGTAATCCAAGAAGCTCTCAGACAGAAGTTTAGTTGATTGTCAGACTATAACAAACAGTTTAGATGTTACTAGACAAATAAAATGGTGAAAATAGTTTGTTTGCAAGACAAATCTGTCTACCACACAAATCAGAGTGGGTTTGTTGCAGTCTGGGCTCTCCTGAAGGCAGACTGCATGTTGAGAAGGTGGAGTTTAGTGTGCCAATGTGTTTTAGGGAGTTCTATCAATACCTGAGGAAGGGATGAAGCCAGATTAGGCAGAGGGAGGAGTCAAGCTGCCATACAGGCCCAATGTTAGCTTCTGCTGGCCTACAAGGAGCTCTAGAGCTAAGGTGACCAATCAGAGTTGTTTAGCTTTGGACAAACAGAGAGGAGCTTCATAATGCCTTCCTTACTTCTGTGTCAACCAGTTATATGATGTGACCTGTCCTAAGTCAATCCCTGAAGGAGATGTCAGCTACAAGCTATTACTGACAGCATTTCCAGTAGTTAGAGCAAGATATCCCCTAAGGGTCGATATAAGTGGTATATCATCATGCCACCATGGGATAAAACTTAGGGATATTGATGTTATTAATTAATATCAGTTGTATTATTATACAGTTATGAAGGCCTGGAGAGAATTGTGGTGCAAGGAGAATAAGGGCAGGACACATCCATACAGGTTATTTCCAATCCAGGATATAGCTATATACTTTTTTTTAAGAGGTTATATTTAAAAATGCAAATATTATAGTTAATAGCAACCTTATTATAGTTATTTTTTCCCCTTTGGTTCTTGAATTGAAAAAGTAGAAAACAACTAGTATAGTGAAAAATCTGGAAATTATGCCATGAATACCGACTTAATAAGGAACTGGGACTCAGAAATTAAAAAAAGAAAGAAAAGAAGAGGGCTAGGATTATAGCTCAGTGGTAAAGAACCTGCCTCACATGTGTGAGACACTGGGTTCGAGCCTCAGCACCACATAAAAATAAATAAAATAAAGATATTGTGTCCATCTACAACTAAAAAAAAAATATTTAAAAAAAAAACAGAGAAAACAGTGGCAATCTTTGTGTTAAAGAATTATTCTCTATCTAAATCTTCCTGAATCTCCAGGGCCCACCATCACAGCAGTTAATGTAGTGCCTCCCTCACTTCAAATGTTCAGTTAAGTGTTCTTTAAAAGGAAGGAAGGGAAGTTAGAAAACTAAGTAGCTCTAGGGCCAGAAAAAGAAAGGTATGTGGAAATAAACTGTCAAAGAAAACTATTCAAAAGAAAAATGAACTTCTGAGGGAGATGAGCCTTTCTCTCACTGAAAGACTAGTCAGTCATTCAAATACATTATACTTGCACCACGAGGGAGATTATTCTAGATAAACTTTAATATTTTTTTCAAGCATAAGACTGATTTAAAATACCTAGTGACTTTGAAATGGCCTCAGATATTTACTTAATTTTTTAAAATATGCAAACTTCAAAATATAAGATACCAATAAACTTTGGATTTTTGTTATAGATTCTATAATAAAACTTACATCTCTTAAATTTTTCACTTTTAATTTAGCTACTGGCTTTTGCAAAGAATTTGGATGTAGAATTCAGCTTGGAGGCAGAAAGAATGATTCATGGCTATTATCTAGCCAGTCGCAGAATCAGAACAGATTTTATATATGGATCAAAACTGTCAGCATCTGCATTAAAATATTTGTAGGTATTCAGTTCAAGATTTTAAAGACAGTATTGACTTTTAAGTGGTGTATTTAACTTATGTTATCCATTTGTTTCTGTTTGATCGCTGATTGGTTAGTTTATAATATGCCTTGTCCCAAAAGAATTTAAGAGGACTTAATAATTTATTTTTACTCATATGAACCTCTAATAATTCTTTTCACTAAGTTTATTTTACTAGGTCCCTTGTATAATATGTGTCTGAGAAAAATATCAAATGATTGTTTTTTAAAATGTGGATATTTATAGTCTAAGTATTTTGTAGTAGGACCTAGAAGATTTCTTAAATATATTGTTCCTGTACTTTTAAATACTTTAATGGACTCATCTGTTACTGTTCCTTAAAATGTTAAAAAGTAATCTTTATTATAAAAGTACAGACATTGGGGCTGGGGATGTGGCTCAAGCGGTAGCGCACTCGCCTGGCATGCGTGCGGCCCAGGTTCGATCCTCAGCACCACGTACAAACAAAGATGTGTCCGCTGAAAACTAAAAAAATAAATAAATAAATATTAAAAAAAAAAAAAAGTACAGACATTAAAGTCTAAAATGACAAGTATCCTAACTCTTCCTATTCTTATAATCACTGATATCCCAGAGATAGTCACTGTTGACAGTTTTTATGTATTCTTCCAGAAATTATCCATTCAAATGCTAGCATATACATAATATATAATTTAAATATGGTATGTAAAATATATTTTATTCAACTGTTATATTTTAAAGTTAATGTGTTAAGCAGGGTGCAGTGGCATTCTCCTGTAATCCCAGCAGCTCAGGAGGCTGAGGCAGGAGGATCACAAGTTCAAAGCTAGCCTCAACAACAGTGAGGTGCTAAACAATTCAGGGAGATCCTGTCTCTAAATAAAATTCAAAATAGGGCTGGGCATGTGATCGAATGCCCTGAGTTCAATCTCTGGGACCCCCCCCAAATTAATGTATTAAACATATATATAAGCTTATAAATATATACATCTATATTTTCATGTGGATAAATATGCTTTTTTGCCCAAATAGAATCAGGCATATACAGAATTACCTTATTCCATTTTAATAGTTACATCATTAAATGTAACTTAATTGTGATGTGTGGACATTGTGATATGCTTTTACCATAATTTATATAGTTATATAATTCTCTAATTACTATATAGTTATATAGTAATTAGAGAATTACTTCATTTGATACAATATTAAAATATAATCTCCAGCATGGTACAGTGGTACAGGTATGTAATCCCAGCAGCTCCAGAGGCTGAGGCAGGAGGATCGAGAGTTCAAAGCCAGCCCCAGCAACAGTGAGGTGCTAAGCAACTCAGTGAGACCCTGTCTCTAAAGAAAATACAAAATAGGGCTGGGGATTTGGCTCAGTAGTCAAATGCCCCTGAGTTCAATTCCCAGTACACCTCCCCCCCTGCCAAAAAAAAAAAAGTATTATCTCCAACAAATTATAAGATGGATCAGGAGTAAAATAATCCACTAAATGAATGAATGAATGAATGAATAAACTTGTTATCGCTGTAGCATTAAATAAAACAGATGATGGGCTGGGGTTGTGGCTCACTGGCAGAGTGCTTGCCTAGCACATGTGAGGCACTGTGTTCGATTCTCAGCACCACATTAAAATCAATAAATAAATAAAATAAAGATATGTGTCCATTTATAACTAAAAATATTTAATAAAAAAACAGATGAAAAACTGTCAGGAAAGATCAAGAAGAGGTCTATGATATGTTTAGTTAATTTGTTTCAGCTGTATCTTCAAACAGCTGAAAAATGCAAAAGATAAGCCTAGTGATGAACTTTTTTTTTTTTGGTACTGGGAATTGAACTTGGGGCACTCAACCACTGAGTCACATCCCTAGCCCTATTTTGTATTTTTTTTAGAGACAGGGTCTCACAGAGTTGCTGAGCACCTCACTGTTACTGAGGCTGGCTTTGAACTCGTGATCCTCCTGTCTCAGCCTCCTGAGCCACTGGAATTACAGGCATGTGCCACTGAGCCTGGCTAAACATTTTAAAAATAACAACCAATTACAAAATGCTTTCCATTTTATGAAGTAATATTTAAAATACTAAGATCAAATTGTATTGCTTTAAACTTCTAAAAGTCCTGTTTCCTCACAAGAAGGGTAGCCAGGATGGTGAAGGGCTGAAAATTATGTCTCATGACTTACTATTTTTTTCATTATTTTCCTCACACTGGGGATCAAACCCCGCTCTACTACTGAGCTACAACCCCAACCCTTATGACATAGTAAAGGTACTAGGAATATATAACTTGGAAAAAAAGAAAACATGGGGCAACTATAAAAGTTACATGAATATTTTTAAAATATTTTTTTTAGTTTTTGATAGACCTTTTTTTTATTGGTTGCTCAAAACATTACAATGCTCTTGACATATCATATTTAAAAAGAGTTTTATTTATATGTGGTGCTGAGAATCAAACCCAGAGCCTCACACATCCCAGGCAAGTGCACACTACCACTGAGCAACAGCCCCAGCCTGTTTACATGAATATTTGAAGGGCCATCACATGTGAGAGGTATTATGCTTGTTCTATAGTTTAAAAAGATAGAATAAGAGACCAGTGAGTGACAATTGCAGTGAAATCAATTTCACTTTAGATGTATGTAAGCTTTGTAGGTTAGTTACAAAACTTTCAAATGTCTTTTCTTAGTATTCTTGTTTTATAGCTGAATTCCAAAACATTCTCATAAGTCAATTTATATAAAATCACATGGCTAGAAAATTCTAGAGAAACAGCATAGGTTTTCTGATTCTCAAGTCCAGGAGTCATTCAGTTATATTACATCATCTAATGAAAGCTTAAGGGAGATCTTCCAGATAATAGAAGCTGGTTAAATTTTTAAAAATAGAGGAAAAGATTGCCTCATGAAACAGTAAATGCTAGAAGTTTAAGAAACGGGATAATGAGTAGTCCAGGATGTTTTAGAGAAAATTCACTTATCTGATAGGAATTTGAAATTTGAACTCAGAGATCCTTTCCACTTTTGAAATTGCAAGATTATACAAAGACATCAGATAGATGAAGAACTAGATGAAAACATTAAGGATGTGTCTTAAAGATATTTAGTTGGGTTTACTTTCCCAACTGCATATTTATCTGAACAGAACTTAAGTGGTAGTAGTTGGGTGGAATGATGAGGAGCAGCTAGGATAGAAACCAATTCTTTGATAGTGAGGATACTTGCTTGTCTTGGAATAGTCTATAAATAATAGTCTATTAAAATATTCTAAAAAGGTCTACAATTTTTAAAGTAAGAATATGTTGTTCTTGGGGCTGCAGATGTAGCCGAGCATGCGTGAGGCACTGGGTTCGATTCTCAGCACCACATAAAAATAAAATAAAGATAAAAAAAAATAGTGTTCAAAAAAAAAAAAGAATATGTTGTTCTTTCATCTGTGTGGTCATATTCTTATGTGTCTTGTTTATTTCTACCAAAATATATTTTTGTAATATCAACATATTTTTACTGGCATCAATTTTGTTTCTTAGAGTTTCCTTATCTGAAGCCCATGCACGACTGAATTTAAGGAATAAAGTGCTCAAAGAAGATGTACTAATTGCAGCTTTATTATTTGAAACATCTCTCACATTGAAATATGGTAACGTATTAAATTATTAATGATCTCTACAAATAATTTTATTTAAACTTCAATATTCTTCATTTATTAAATTGTTAAATATATTTTAAACATTAGTTCCTTATTATGCATGAGTGCGTCAATACTTGAACTTTGGTGCTGCTTAAAGAATTCTAGGGGGGAAGGAGTACTTATTAATACAAGACATGAAATGATTTAAGTTTATATTCCCTTTAAAATAACATGCAAACCAGATTTGGTGGCACATGCCTGTAATCCCAGCAACTTGGGAGGCAAGCCTGAGGCAAAAGGATCAAAAAGTTGGAGGACAGCCTTCAAAATTTAGCCAGACCCTGTCTCAGAAATAAAAAAAAGAAAAAGGGCTAGGCCTGTACTTCAATGGTAGTGTCCCTGGGTTCAATCCAGTACTGCAAAAATGAATTTTAAAAATAATAAATAAAATAAATAATAAGATAAATAAAACATACAACATTTGCCAAGCAGTCCCCCACAGTGGAGTTAGGCACATAGCCAAAATAACCACCTTCTCTGAATTGGAAAATTTAATACTGACTACTGCACTTAATCATTTGAAATGAATGGCAGTTACTATGTTTTTGCTCTTAAAATTACAAAAGAGCTCTTAAGGATGAGTAAAGTTAATCTCACAAAGTTTTTGTGAATTAGATAATAATAGTGATGAGAGATATAATGCTTCAAACCAGATTTTTGTTCCAGGCCTGGGACTTGAAAGTATTAATAGTAGTAGCTTTGCTGTGGATGTTTAGTGTTCAAATTTGCTTTAAATAGCTGGGCATGGTGGCAAGTCCTATAATCCCAGCAACTCGGAGGCTGAGACAGGAAGATTTCAATCAAGTTCAAGACCAGCCTCAGCAACTTAGCAAGGCCCATATCAAAATGAAAAACAGGAAGGGCTGGGGATATAGTTCAGTGGTTAAGTACCCCTGGATACAATTCTTGATACCAAAATAAATAAACAAACATAAATTTACTTTACATTACATTTATATTGCATTAATTTCCAAATTAATTCCAAGGATCCATTAAAATGTTACAAACTGTTCTATAATTGTCTAAATCAAAATTCTTTTTTAAAAATTTTTTTTAGACATTGACAGGCCTTTATTTTGTTCATGTATTCATATGCGGTACTCAGAATCGAACCCAGTGCCTCACACATGCTAAGCAAGTACTCTACCACTGAGACACAATCCCAGCTCCTACATCAAGTATTCTTTACCTGGGATCCATGGATGCTTGGAATCCTAGAGGCTTGCAGATCCTTAAGTTATATACAAATTTGGGTATGTGTGCCCCTTTCTAGGAAGAGATTTTTAAGTTTTATTAAGTGTGCCTTAGAGATTCATGACTGTCATTCTGAATTTGGTTTTATTAACCAAAAGATAGAAAAACTGATTCCCAACCAATACTAAATAATAGGAAGGATATGTAAATATTTTAAATTTGCTTTATCTTTACATTCTTCTTTTAATCTCTATTTAAGACAATATTTCATCAAATCCAAGATACATTATTTTATCTATCATTAAGGGAAAAAATGCTGCAAACTTTATAATGATTTGCCATCAGCTGTTACGTCACATCTGAGTTTCAGTGATAAAACAAAAGTATTGTGGTGCACACCTGAAATGCCAGCAGCTTAGAAGGATGAGACAGGAGGATTTTGAGTTCATGAGGCCCGAAGCAATTTAGCAAGACCCTGTCTCAAAATAAAATATAAAAAGGGCTGGGGATTTGGCTTAGTGGTTGAGTGCTCCTGGGTTCAATCCCTGGTACAAAAAGAAAACAATCAAAACAAAAAAGTAAGTCTGTGAATTTAAAAACGATGGTTGAAAGGGCTGAAAATGTAGCTCAGTGGTAGAGTGTTTGCCTAATATGTGCAAGACCCTGGGTTTGATCCTCAGTTCTTGGAAGAAGAAAAAAAAAAACACTTAAAAACTAAGGTTTGAATAACTATGATTTTATAATATTAAGAATTCCTGTAGTAGAATGACAGAATATTTTTACTTTGTGACTATTTTGTCAAGACTTCCATGAAGGGGCTGGAGTTATGACTCAGCGGTAGAGTGCTCGCTAGCACATGTGAGGCCCTGGGTTCAATCCTCAGCACCACATAAAAAATAAAGATATTGTGTCCAACTACAACTAAAATAAAATATTTTTAAAAAACCCAGACTTCCATGAAGGGGCTGGATTGGTGGCTCAGTGGTAGACCACTTGCCTAGCATGTGTGAGGCACTGGATTTCATTCTTAGCACCGCATATAAGTAAAATCTTAGGTCTATTGACAACTAAAAAATTAAAAAAAAAAGATTTCCATAAAGCATTTGAAGGAATCAAAACTATGTGAAAAAAAATTTGCTTTTGTTTTCATAATGACATTCAGTTAGATATATAATTTTAAATCTTAATGTTAAGAGATTATTAAATATTACTTTAAACACAGAGGAAAATGATTCCAAGGGATGATTTTCTTAGGTAGAATTGATATGAGAAGAATAGGCAGTCTTTATACAAGTCTTTAACCAAGCCACACTTGGGTTTCCTTGTGTGTTCCTAGTGTATGTTACCTTATTAAAATTAATTTACTCTTTTTACATTATTTGTATACTATAAAGTAAAACTATGATGGTATTTTGAGATAAATGATAATTTAAGGATTGATATATTAAAATTAGTATGTTATGTGGTGTTATACTTTGTAATTATCATTATATGAATTCAATATTCATAATTATTTTGTCCAGTCAGTACATCAACCAATTTTTGTTGTTGTTTTTTGTACCAAGGATTGAACTCAGGGGTACTTGACCACTGAACCACATCCCCAGCCCTATTTTGTATTTTGAGACAGGGTCTCACTGAATTACTTTAGTGCCTCACTGTTGCCTCAGCTGGCTTTGAACTTGTACTTCTCCTGTGTCAGCCTCCAATGCCACTGGGATTACAGGCATGAGCCACCGTGACTGGCAACAATTTCTTTTTAATATATTTTTTTTAGCTGTATAAAATATTTTTAGATGGACACAATACTTTTATTTTTTTATTTGTTTATTTTTATGTGGTGCCAGGGATAGAACCCAGTACCTCACACATGCTAGGCAAGAGCTCTACCACTGAGCCACAACCCTTGCCCCTCAACAAATATTTGATTGACAACTAGGTAATAGGTTCCTGATATACAGTGGTGAAAAAACAGTCTATACTCAGTTGTAGTCTATAGCCTAGTGAGAGAACAGATATTAAAAAGTTAATATACTGGGATTGGGGCTGTAGCTCAGTGGCAGAGTTCTTGCCTAGCACGTGTGAGGCACTGAGTTTGATCCTCAGCACTGCATTAAAAAAATAAACAAATTAAGGCATACTGTCCATCTACAATTACAAAAAAAATTTATAAAAAATGTAAATATACTAATATATAATACAAATTGAGATGGATGTTATGAGGAAAATATACAGGCTGTTATAAGCAAGAATAATAAAAGGGGGGCTGGGGTTGTGGCTCAGTGGTAGAGCACTCACCTAGCAAGTATGAGGCACTGGGTTCAATCCTCAGCATCACATAAAAACAAACAAAAAACAGAGATATTATGTCCATCTACAACTAAAAAAAATTTTTTAAAAAATATGACAAAAGGGAGGGGCTGGGGATGTGGCTCAAGCGGTAGCGCGCTCGCCTGGCATGCGTGTGGCCCAGGTTCGATCCTCAGCACCACATACAAACAAAAGATGTTGTGTCCGCCCTAAACTTAAAAAATAAATAAATAAATATTAAAATTCTCTCTAAAAAAAATATATAAAAGGGACTGATTTTGACTAGATTTTAGGGTGACATCTTTAAGGAGGTAATAGTTATTTAACTTGAAATCCAGATAGAGGGAAACTATATTGTGTAGGTATTTTTCAAGAAAATGAAAGAGGGCCAGGCTAGGGCTAAAGCCTCACACACTTGTGGTAGAAAACTGGGTTTCTATTCCAAGTATAACAGGAAGCAGAAACCTAATATGATCAATTATATATAAGTATCATTGTCTATAGTGGATCTAAAGAATAGATTGGAGGGGGTAAAGGGTGGAAAAAGATGTTAGGAAATTATTGTCATAGTCCAGGCAATTGATATAGGAGCTTTGATTAGGTGGAAGCAGTAGAAATGGAAAGTATTGGGTTAGAGATACATTTTGGATGCAAAAAACAATAGGTTTTGCTCATGAACTAGAGTTAGAGTTGGGTGCAGGAATAGAGAGAGGGAAAGGGAGGAATTAAGGAAAATTCCAAAGTTTTTGCCTTGAGCAACCAGGTATCAAGACTGGGAATAAAAGAGATTGGGAGAAAAATCAAATTATAGTAAGTTTGTGATATTCTACAGAGAAATCAATACACAAACTGGAATTTAGGACAGTTCTAACCTAGAAATATAATTTAGCAACCATCAGCATAGAGATGGTATTCAAAGCCAAGAAGTGGATGAAATCACCTTAGAGGGACTAAAGTGAATTCCAATATTCAGAAATGGGGTCGACGAAGGTGAACAAAGATAGAACCAGTAGCTACAATGTAGGAAGAAAATGAAGTGTTACAGAAGCCAAAAGAGGGCTTCCAAAGGGAACAGATTGGCCAATTGTATCATAGCCTACTAAGATTTGATAATCCAGAGGTTGGTGGGTGGCCATGATCAAAACTATTTAGAGAGCTGTTGAGTGGGAATAGGTATGGAGATAGCAGAGAACTTTGAGATGCTGACTATGAAGACAAGCAAAGAAACTGAGCATTAGCGGAAGAAGAATGTGGGGTCCGAAAAGGGATTATTATCTTTTTAATACATAAGGTATTAAATCATATGATATGCAGTAATACTTCAGAAAGATGGCAATTCGAGGCTTGGTGGTACACACCCATAGTATAAGACCATGCTGAACAACATAGCAAGACCCCATCCATGCATGATGGTGTACACCTGTAATTCCAGCAGGTTCGGAGGCTGAGGCAGAATCTCAAAATCAAAACCAGCTTTTTAGCAATTTAGTGAGACTGTAAGCAACCTAGTAAGACTGTGTCTCAAAAATTTTTTTTAAAGGGGGAGAGGGTTGGGAATGACTCAGTGGCTAAGCACCCCCGAGTTCAACTCTAGTACCAAAATAGAAAAAAATTAAAAAAAAAAAAAGGATGTTGGGGGTAGGATGAAATTGAAGGAGTTAAATCCTTAAAAAATATGAGAGGGATCAGTCAAATCCAGAGCACATTTAAGAATTAGACTCATACAGGTCACTTGTTCAATTTGAAAAGAAAATGGATAATCAGGTAGGTTTGTACATTTGGGGCTTCTGTTTATTCTCCAGTGCATCATATTGGTATTCAAAAAAATATGATTTCAATGATTAAAGTGCTTGCCTAGCACGTGAGAAGCACTGGGTTTGATTCTAAGCACCGCATATAAATAAATGAATAAAATTAAGGTTCATCAACATCTAAAAAATGTATTAAAAACTTTCATCATTTCAGTTGAAAATGAATTATTATTTAGCATTTTAAGGAATATTTCTCATTTATACTATATTTCCTTCTTCATTTAGGGGCCACTGTATTTTGTGTTGCTCCAAATGCAGTATTTCCCTTTGAACTGTACAATGAAGAGTACTTACAACAAAGGGATCTCTATCTGACTCAGTGCCAGAAACAGCTCCAACAGTTTATTGCCACATACGGACCTGGAACAGCTGTTTTCACTAACGATGAATAAGCAATTTGAGAAAAATTTCCTTTTGATTTCAACTTCAGCAATGGGAAAGTGTATTCGAGTAACTTTAAAGCAATGCTTCAGATAGTACTGTATACAGGAGTACATCAGAATGCCATTTAAAAAACAAATCATGGTCCCCACAAAAATCAACTGCTACTGGGATATACACTAATCCAAACTTCTAAAACAAATTACCATAATTTCAAATTTTAGGAGAGAAATATGGATGATTAAGATGATGAAGTCACCAAAGAGAATCCTAAGTTTCTGGTTAGCCCAGAGTATGTGATAAAAAAAAATAAGGACCTTACAATGTGAAAAATGGTTAACATGGAATTCACTCTATTTGTCATAAGATGGCAATAACCCTATTTACAAAATTTTTTAAAAATATTTTTTTAGTTGTAGTTGGACACAATACCTTTATTTATTTTTATGCGGTGCTGAGGATCGAACCCAGGGCCTCGCACGTGTTGGGTGAGAGCTCTACCACTGAACCACAACCCCCAGCCCCCTACAAATTTTTTAAAAAATATTATTTGCTTGTAATTTTTATTTAAATATTTTTTAGTTGTAGATGCATACAATATCTTTATTTTTATGTGGTACTGAGGATCGAACCCAGTGCCCCACATGTACAGGGCAAGCGCTCTACCACTGAGCCACAATCCCAGCGCCCCCTACAAATTTTTAAGCCATTTTTTTTCCCTTATACTTGTGAACCTGCCGAATTGATTAACTAATTTGTATAACCTGAAGCTTCAAATTTAAGGCCTTTTTAGGGCTGGGGTTGTAGCTCAGTGGTAGGGCGCTTGCCTAGCATGCATAAGGCACACATAAAGGTCCATCAACAACTAATTAAGGCCTTTTCAGCTTATACACATATGCATTACATGAACATTGTTTTAGAAGCCCTAAATTTGGAGTCAAAAAAGCCTTGGAAATTTCTATATATAAACTGTGGTAAAAAAAAAAAAAATGTAACCAGAGAACAAGTTTGCCCCTAACTTTAAGGTTCCCTAATGCAATGAAACCAATATGCAAACCCATTCTTCATTTTTATGTATTGTTGAAGTGAGGGCATGTCTTACTTCATCTAGGCTGACCTCAAATACCAGAAGACATAATCCTCCTGTTTACCAGCAACCTGGCATTGAGTTACATTCTTTGACCATTTTGGTTTTTGTGACAAGGTTTCCTTGTTACCCAGGCTGGTCCTCAACTTCAGTAACTGCTAGTCATTTTGTTCTGAATAAGTAGGGACAATAAAATCCTCCAATCCTTTCCAGTTCTAATTACTTCTACTTGCTGGGTGCACACCTGTAATCCAAGCAGCTCAGGAGGTTGAGGCAGGAGGATTGAAAGTTCTAAGCCAGCTTTAGCAAAAGTGAGGTGCTAAGGAACTCGTCAGACTCTTGTCTCTAAATACAAAATAGGGCTAGGGATGTGGCTCTATGGCCAAGTGCCCCGGAGTTCAATCCCCAATACCCACCCCCCAAGAAAAATTATGAATGAAGAATGTATCACACCAAGAGCCACCTTATTAACCAAGATCTAATTCTTCAAAACTGACAATCCAGGGCTGGGGTTGTGGCTCATTGGCAGAGCGTTTGCCTAGCACAGGTGAGACACTGGTTCGAACCTAAGCACTGCATTAAAATAAATAAATAGATAGATAGATAAATAAATAAGGGCATGCTGTCCATCTACAACTACAACAAATTGAAAAAAAAAAAAAACTAAATCCAAAATCTCACAATCCAGAGCTTACTTAACCATATAGCTGGAGGACTCCCTAACACACTATAGGAAGGCCATTCACTATGATTGAATACCAACCAGTGCCAGCAATATATAAAACTAGCAGGCTAAGCTAGTTTTCAACAAAATATATAATACTGTTGCTAACTAAGAGCCTTGTTTTGTGCCTTTTCATGTACTATATTTCACTTTTCTGGCTCTGTGGGGTGAGGCAAAGCCATACTGTTACCTTAGATCAATACAACAGTCTCAGCTTATAGGGAAAAAAAGCAATTTTTAACTTAAAGACAACTTAATTGCTATTTAGTACTAAAGGACTTTAGAAGATTCCAACCATCTTTCAGGCACCATAGCCATTACTATCTTCCCAGCTGCGTACAGTGACAGTCACTATCCACAGATGAGCTACTTAACGAGAACTATATCAAAAGTATGTTAAAAAACAGAACTGATGAATGACTAGGAGAAAAAAACTATTTAAAAAGAAAACAATATTGCCAAGAGCAATTAAAAATTGTCACACATGTATTTTACCACATAACTTATTGTTTATTAATATCAAATAAAAATTTCATAGTTTGTTTCTATTTTTTTCTTCATAAATTCTTTTTTTTTTTCCTTTCACAATGTTGCATGCCACACCTCTGGAAAATAAGAAAGCAACAGTGAAAATCACTTTTACCCAAATTCAGAAACTCAAGCTCAATATCCTCAAAAAAAAAAAAAAAAAAATTAATGCTAAGAAAAGGAAAACACACCCCAAATATGCAAAGGCAACTTAAAAAGAAACTGGTCCCAGTCTTTTGGAGTTCAAATGCTTCTGAGCCATCAAAATATGTGGTGCTTGAGGCTGGGGATTTAGCTCAGTTGGTAGAGTGCTTACCTTGCATGCACAAAGCCCTGGGTTCAATCCCCAGCACCACCAAAAAAAAAAAAGGAGAATAAGAAGAAAAAAGGATGTGGTGATTGAGAAGTCACACTTACTTGAGGCAAGGATGTATTTTTAAACACTACATCAAAAGGACTGGAGCATTCATTGATAGCTGCCTATATGCAGAAGAGAAAGAGAAAGAACATTTCACTCATTTCAACAAAAACAGTCTATTTCAGTAATTCACATAATCAATATATATTACTGGCACCTCAGTCTTAAAATTATTTCTTCAAAGAAAACCCTCAGCTGGGTAAACGGCAAAAATTTGTCATCACTGTGCCAGTGGTTAAATCGATCTATGTCAAGAATATATTACACATTTTGGTTTAGACTATCACAAAGAAAAAGAAAAGCACACACTATGGTACCGTGTTACATGTCAAATGTGGTCCTACTCATTTTCTTCAGTCATCTTCTATGACAAGTTTTTAAGAGCATTTGTTCCAACCACTTTCATACATCTTCATGCCACTGGATGTTGTACCTAGAAACAAAAATATTCAATTGTGAATTCTCATACTTCTATTTGGCACCTTATGTGTGGCAAGAGTCCAATGAGAATTTCATTCTTGTCAGAAGCATAAACACAATCATATTTTACAAACTAGCTCTCAAGTCATAATTCCATAAATCAGATTCTTTACAAGCTAGAAATGTTGAGTTATTAGTAAGGGCAGGAAAATCTGCAGAAACTGTTTTTTAATAACTGTGGCAGCAGTATTGATTTTAAGACAGGATGGACTCTTGTGAATATCAAAGCCATTGCTTTTCTGTCTCAAAGCTTGACAGGATGAACTATGAGCAAGGGTAAAGGTTAGATGTACAGAAAAAAGTGTGCAGACCTTCATCTAAAAACATTACAACGGCAAATCTAGTAGTTTTAGGGCAAGGATACCTATGTTGGCAAGTTGACTGAAAGTGCACTAAGTAGTGCTAAGGAATGGCCAGAGTCACAAATCATGTCCTACAGCACCCCAAGAGGATAAATCACTGAACCAGACAGCTACTGGAAATGATTTATGAAGACATGTAAAACTGGAACTTGCAAAACAATTTATCAATTTCAAGTCTTTAATGTTTCACACAATCAATATTAGGAAAACAATATAAACTTGGTAAAGAATAGTTCCAAAATGAAAAATTGTTTAATTTACAGAGAGTTCATGCATTTTTAAAACTTAGCGAAGATCTAGAAATGCATGTTATTAACGAAATTGCAATCTACATCACTCCCTCAAACAACAACAAAACACCCCAGACTCACAAAATTCCAGATGGTGGGTACCTGTGGGTGGAAGGCAGCAACTAGTGGGATATGTTTATGAATATTTAGCTTTTTAAAGAGGTAACATGTTTTTTCCTAATCTCCCAGCTGTAGACTGGAATCTTCTGTGTAATGTCCAGAAACACACATTTCCATGTAAACGCAAGATCTATGTGTACAGTAGGCATTTGTGGCCCAAAGGCCTTCCATACTTACACGTTCTGTTATCCAGCTTCAAAGCCTTTTATATTTACAAGGGCGATTCAGGAACAAATGCCAGAATTCTACAAATACGTTGAGATCAGTGGTTAAGCGGCGCTTACTGCTTTTTCCAAACCCCTCGATTTTGTACGGTTAAGTGTCTTTAGCATTTAAAAGAAAATAATCTTTATAAAATGCCCCCTTAAGGAAAATGAAACCGCCCACTCAAGGGAGCCTGAAACCTCCAAAGTCGAGCTTTGCTGGGGACTAAGGGGAATCGGTCGAAGGTGCGGGGGTGGGGGAGTGGGGGGTTACGAAGCCGCAGGACGTTCCTTCCTCAACTCTCCTGGGTCACAGAAGACCCTTTCGAAACCAGTGTTTACTGTGGAATAAGATCAACTAAGGCCCGCAGGTAGTTACTTATAAAACGCAACTACGCGAACGACACGAAGGGAACTCTCCAGGCCACGTCCACAGGGAGGAGCGTTACGTAACCTCCAGCGTCCAGCCCGCGGCCGCTGAAGGCTCGGTGCGCTAGGGTAAAGCACCGACGCGGCCGGCACCCACAAGGCGGAGGAACTTGGTACGGAAGAGAGGAGAGACTAAGATCCCGAGGACTCTCACCTCGAAGAACCCGGCACCGGGCCCACAGGCTCCTTCACCACCCGGCCACCATGGCGAAAGAACACCTCCCATTGTCCGCGGCTGCGCGGAAAAGGAAGAGCTGCGAAACCGCACAGCTCTTAGGGACCGGTCCTGGTCCCGCCCCTTCCGGCTCTGGGCCCCGCCCCTCCGTGGGGCTGTAGTGAGAGTAGGGGAGGCCGTGCTTGTGCAGTCATGCAATGTGGGTGTCTCTGCAGGTGTTCAGCAGTGTAAGCTTTTATTGGGGGACTTTGTAACTTCCCTAGAGGCCTTTAAGGCCCATGAATACCTCAGCTAGGGCTATTATATTGAATATGCAAATGATGAAGTTACAGGTTTATAATAATGCTCTAAAAAAGAAGGGTCTCCTGTTCATAGTACTTATGTTTGCTTGGTGTTCTATACCCTCATATATTTCAATATTTAAAAAACTGGTGTTGCTGGGGGTGGTGGCGCACGCCTTCAAAACAATTCAAAGCCAGCCTTAGCAATTCAGCGAGACCCTGTTCTCTAAATAAAACATTTTAAAAGGGCTGGAGATGCGACTCAGTGATTAAGTGCCCCTGGGTTCAATCCTTGTACCCAAAACAAAACAAAACAAAATTGGTGGTGTTGGATAGCCCCATTTAGAGTAAGCATTCTGGGATTGCTTTTACACACAGGGAAAATAAGTTACCAGAAAAAGGAGAAGCTGTTATATATTTTCTCTATAATAGTAGCTACAATTATTACTGTTTTTATTGGTAATAATGGAGTTTTTTTTTTTTTAATGTTCATTAAGCAACTACCTATGTCGTTCATAATTTGCTACTGCTTTTCATGTTTTATTACACTTATTTTTCTTAATCATTGTTAAGTCCTGGCTGCAAAGCTCTAGGCTTAGCCTTGAAAAGAAAGGTTTGTGATCTTGTTGCCTGAAAGAACACATATAAAAGCAAAAAATTGAGCAGTTAAATCAGTAAAAGGTCATATCTCCTTTAAAAATAGGAAGTCTAAGAAATTAGTACATAATCCAGTACAAAGTATAAATTTGCTTCAAAGCAATTTTTTTTTTAAATATTTATTTATTTTTTTAGTTCTCGGCGGACACAACATCTTTGTTTGTATGTGGTGCTGAGGATCGAACCCGGGCCGCACGCATGACAGGCGAGCGCGCTACCACTTGAGCCACAGCCCCAGCCCAGCTTCAAAGCAATTTATAGTATGAAAATCCAAATCTAGCAATACAAATTGTGAGGATACCTCTCTATATAGTGTTTTTGTTGTTGTTGTTTGTTTGTTTTGTTTTGTTTTGTTTCTGAGTGGTCTGCAGGAGTTTAGAAATCGTTGTTTTGGGTCCCCAATGCCAAATTGTTTCTTCTGTCAAGTAGTGGGAGTGGGGTTCAGCCTAACTCACAGATTTGTTGGACCTGGCTCGATGTTGCTTCAACAACCTAATTTTGCAACAGGTGTTTTCCTGCAATTATGTGGGCAGCTCTGGTAGGAAATTAGAAAGGGGTAATTTTGGATGCTGAGCCCATAGATTAGAAGGCAACAATTTAGATAAATTCTTGATGCTACTAACTCCTGAGTCATGTTCGAAAGAACTGGAGACAAAAAAACATGTCCTTGCTCTGTCACAATTCCGTTGGCATTAGTTTCTGTGTTGCTAACAGCTTTCTTCTGTTGCCTCTTAACCTGCAGGTGCTCAAAGGACATTCTTTAGTCCCTATTGCCAAGAATTAATTGAGCTGGGTGGATAGATATGGAAGGGGTCATACTTTAATGACTTAATATATTCTTTCTTTAGACTGAATACAATTAAATACCATGACTAAAATTCAGGCGTTTTTAAACTACACAACTGCTCATTTTCAGGTTTTCATTTTAGGTCAGTTATTTTAATTGATTAATAATGGCATTAAATAAATGTCTCTTTCAACTGTAACAAAATACTCAGTGAATTTTTTTAAAGATTTTTTTTTTTTTTTTTAGAGATGGACATAGTATCTTTATTTATTTTTATGTGGTGGTGAGGATTGAGCAGAGTGCCTCCCATGTGCAAGGCAAGCGCTCTACCAGACTTGGCAGCTGTAACCCCAGCCCCTTAAAGTGAGTATTTTTTAAAATGAAGAGTATGGCTGGGTATAGTGGTGCACATCTATAATCCCAGCAACTCCAGGGGCTGAGCAAGAGAATTGCAATGTCAAGGCCAGCAACTTAGCGAGACCTTCTCTCAAAATAAGAAGTAAAAGGGGCTGGAATATAGTTCAGTGGTAAAGCAACCCTGAGTTCAATCTCTAGTATAAAAAATAAAAATGAAGATTACATTCCACATTATAAGAAATCTAAAGGTATTATAAGGTTGGTTAATTCAGCAGGTAGACAGATTAGAAGAACAGATTCAAAATTGTGTGTGTGTGTGTGTGTGTGTGTGTGTGTGTGTGTTTAACCACCAAAAGGTCCAGAGGCGGTGACATGAGTATACATTCATAAAATGGAATGAAAATCCTACTTTCATGTGGTAAACATATTTGCCCCATCTTCCATTCTATTTCCATCCATCTCTCCTTGAACCCCCTCTTTCCCTTCCCTCTCAATCTAGCATTTGAATCTAGACTTTGTGTTTCTTCTTCCTCTCCCTTGGGAACTTCCTTGGTTTTTCTTTTTTTGTGATCCTGGGGTTTGAACCCAGGGCACTATACACAAGAGGCAAGCACTCTACCAACTGAGCTATATCCCCAGCCCCTTCCTTAAGTTTTCTTCTGTTCATTGAGTTCATATTTCAAGTTTTCTCTTATGTAAAACTTAATGTTCACTCATGTGAGCTTTGCCCATAATAATAAAGGATTTGGGGATTTAGAATTAACTTTCTCTTTCAGTCTATCATTTTCAAAAGGGGACATTTGTTTTCAAAGACTCAGAGTTGTGTAATAACCTTGATTAGGAATGCCACTAACTTCCCATTATATATTTTAAAAATTCACTTGTGCCAATTAATTTTTGACCAGAGTAAGACCATTCATTAGTGAAAGGATAGATTTTTCAACAGATGATGCTGGGAAAACTGGATATCCACATTAAAAACAACAACAACAATAACAACAACAACAAAAACAGAAGAGGTTGTATCATGTACAAAAATTAATTCAAATGGATCAAAGACCTAATGTAAGAGCTATAAGTATAAAAATATAGAAGAAATATAAGGGATGAACTTCACCATATTGGATTTGGGAATTTCTTAGATATAACACTGAAAGCGCAGGCAACAAAAGGAAAAATAGGTAAACTGGACTTCACCAATGTGAAAACTTTTGTGCATGTGCATCAAAGGACATTATCAAGAGAATGAAAAGACAATCCAAAGAATGGGAGAAAATATTTGAGAAACACATATCGGATAAAGGATAATATTAAAAACATACAAAGAATGCTTATAATTCAATAACAAAAATACCTGATTCAAAAAGAGACAACCTGATTCAAAAATAGATAATGGACAAAGGATATGAATAGCTATTTCTCTAAAGAATATGTGCACATGGCTAATAAGGATATGATAAAGATTTTCAACAATACTAACCATTAGTGAATCAAAACTACAATGACTGGGCTGGAGTTGTGGCTCAGTGGCAGAGTGCTTGCCTCCCACATGTAAGGCTGGGTTTCGATCCTCAGTACCACATGAAAATAAATAAACCAAATAAAGGTATTGTGTCCATGTGTAACTAAAAAAATATTAAAAAGTGAAAAAAACTATAATGACCTACCACTTCAGAACCATCAGGTTGGCCATTATAAAACAAATAGAAAAAAATAAGCAAGACAAGGATGTGGAGAAATTGGAAAACTTGTGCATTGCTTAGAGAATATAAAATGATGTAGCCACATGGAATACAGTACAGAGGTTCCTCCAAAAGTTAAATGTAAGGACTGGGATATAGCTCAGTTGGTAGAGTGCTTGCCTCTCTTATGCAGAAGGCCCTGGATTCGATCTCCAACAACACACACACACACACACACACACACACACACACACACACAAAGTTAAATATAGAATTACTAAATGATTTAGCAATTCTGCTTCTGGGAGTATACTCAAAAGAATTGATACTAAGGACTCAAACAGATACTTGTATACCAATGTTCATAGTAGAATTATTCACAACAGCCAAAAAGTGCAAATAACCCAAGTGTCCATAGATGAATGAATGAATTAAAAAATATGGACTATATTTAGCTTTAAAAAGGAAGGAGATTAGGTGTGGTGGCCCATGCTTATAATCCCAGTGGCTCAGGAGGCTGAGGCAGGAATATCCCAAGTTCAAAGCCAGCCTCAGCAATTTATGCTTAGGCCCTAAGCAATTTAACAAGACCCTGTCCCAAAAATTAAAAATAAAAATGGGCTGCAAATGTGACTCAGTGGTTAAGTACCCCTGGGTTCGATTCCCAGTCCCCCACCCCCCAAAAAAGAAAGAGGGCTGGGATATTGGTTCAGTGGCAGAGTGCTTGCCTAGTATACACGAGGCCTTAGATTCCTTCCCCAGTAATTGTCCCCCACAAAATGGAAATTCTGATATATGCTACAGAAGTGAAACTTAAAGACATTATGCTGAGTGAAGTAAGCCAAACTCAAAAGGACAAATATGTTCCACTTACATGAGAATGGTGGTTGCCAGGATCTGGGAAAAACAGGAGGCAGGGAATTATTGTTTAATTAGAGTTTCTGTTTGGAATGATGAAGTTCTGAAAATGGGTAGTGGTGATGATTATACAACACTGTGAATGTACTTAATGCCACTGAATTGCACACTTAAAAATGACAAAGGTGGGAGCCGGGTGTCGTGGTGCTTGCCTGTAATCCCAGTAACTTGGGAGGCTGAGGCAGGAGGATTGCGAGTCCAAAATCAGCCTCAGCAATTTAGTGAGGCCCTAAGCAACTCAGTGAGACCCTGTCTCTAATAAAAAAAAAAAAAAAAAAAATGGGCTGGGGATGTGGGTCAGTGGTTAAGTGCCCCTGGGTTCAATTCCTGGTACCCAAAATAAATAAATAAAGATATCTTTATTTATTAAAAATAAATAAATAAAGAT